GTTTTAAGAACATCAAATTTCCAACGGGCAACTATCAGACCGATAGTTCCGAGACATAAACACTCTATCGTTTAAATAGAGCACGCCCTTTCAACCAATGACAGCGTGCGTTATATCCGAACTTTATTACAAATATATTTAGGACCTTTAGACCCCAAAATCACACACAACGCTAGCTTGAGCCGCATGTGGTGTGAGTTGAGCAGTTAAGATTTTCAATAAGCCCTTTTTGTTTCGATTCATTCGTTGTAGTTGCCATGTTCCCAAGTACATCGAGATGTTCATTACACCCATTTTGAAATCCCTGGTAATACTCTAAATTGCATAAATCTCAGCAAACGAGGATGGAACTGCACCAAAAAACTAGTGGTCAGACTTCTGAGTCAAACCTAAGCAACAGGGTTTCATATCACTGGCTTCGATATCAATTCACACTCTCCGTAGGCGCTTTTTCGACCTAGAAATCACTCATATGGAGTACAAATATCTTGCACAAATTTCATGGCAGACAAATTCATCTACATACCCATAATAGCTCAGCATATGTACTTTGAAGTTGGTACTACTACCTTCATAAAATAAGTCACGGTATCATTTTATTTATTTTAGTGATACGTTTAAACGGAAATGACCCAGAAGAGTCTGACAATGAAACTGTAGAACCTGAAGCGTAAGTGTAGAGTGTTTTCTAATCTAATTAAAAGCCAACAAATCACTAACTAATGATCTATCACATGGGCAAATTATAGAGCCAACCTTGAAAGGTTCCTTTTCCTTTTAAGCTCCAAATTCCTTTTAGGGTTCCTTCTTAGAATCTGACCTTCCATCTGTTGGTATAGGAATTACGAAAAATGAGTGAAGCTTAAATTCCTCATCATTATGATCAACCCCATTCACTCCAAAGCTTAAACATGTTTTAAAGCTTTTTTTTTTTTTTGACAACTTTTGAAATGTTTTCGTCAAAGAAGCTGCTTAAACCATTGTTCGGCAACTTAAAATGTAGCCTATTAAAAATATAAGTCAGCAATTATTTGAATCCTATGGAAATTTAGCTACTCAGTCCTCTGTTTCTGATGTTTGTTCAATTAAACACTGTTTACCTAAAAGTGTTTTGCTTGTGTGGAGAGGGTCACGTATTTAGTTTCCTTTCTCATCATTTCTCTATTTATTCCAATAGAGTGCCAATGGCTCCTGTCCTGTTATGGGAGGTTGCAAGAAAAAACTTGGCGATTGAAAGAGTGGTTGGTCATGGTGCGTTTGGAGTGGTCTCCAAAGCGTACCTTCTGGATCTGCCAGGCATCCCAGACTGGACAGTTGTGGCAGTAAAAAGCTTACAAGGTGACATTTTGCGAATTATGATGAAAATTACTAGGATGAATCAAAGTAATACGAGGAACGTCGGGAAGAAAAGAGATGCATGTTCCTTGCAAGTCAACTGCAATTAAAGAAATTGAAGAGGATAAGCCTTAAAGAAAGAACTTATTCGTTCGAATTCACGGGACTTGAAATCGTACCCCCACATAATAACTGTCGGGCAGTTGTGTTTATTACGAGGCTTCATGAGGTAAGCGAATACAAATTTTAGCGGGTTCTTCAATTCACTTCCACATTAAAAAGTGATCTACTATAAATGGGAAAATCACATTTAAGCTGTTCGTCATACTTGTCTATTGAAGTAGAGAAATAATCTTCGCAACAGAGAAGCCTCTACGATAGAAATAAACCAAATTGTCCCTTTGTCTGCGGCCATGCAATTTAATGCACCGTTACATAAGGCCTCCATCGAAGAATAATATTTTGTTACCGTCCCTTATAATTTACGCTCCTAAAAAGAGGTCTCATTGTTTTTTATTAACAGAAGGTGCGACGGAAAGTGAAAGAAAAGATCTGTTGTCTGAACTAAACCTCTTAAAGAAGCTGAAGCCTCACCCGCATGTAATAAAACTATTGGGTTGCATCACAGAAGGAAAAGGTAATTACATGTATGGTTGATCATGTCAAACACTTATGCAGTTTAATGTTTCTATTTTTTGTTATCGTACAATTTTTTGAATGACTATTAAATGTAGTGAATATTGAATTGAAAGCTTGAGTTCCAAAAGGTCATTTTATTTTGTTGTTATTGTTCAGTTATTCTCTCGTTATTAATTTTTCCTTGCGTTAACATACCCATCTAAATAAAGCATGGAGTATGTAAATTTAACAGTGCCTGTAATGTGACAGAAGTAATTTCTTTATAAGTGTTAAGCGTGCTTTGATAATTAACTATTATGCTCTAGGTAAGGTCATTATAATTGTAATGAATGTTGCTATTTAAAGTTCTGTAAGTTATTAATGTAAATACTTGTGAAGGTGTATTCTGATCGTCCGGGTGAGTGTGGTCCTGAGAAGGACTGTTGTCGGTGGTAGTGACTGACGTTTCGACAACCTGTGCGGAAGTCATCATCAGAGTCAAGTGAATGATTGTTGTCAGTAGAGTCAAGTGAATGATTGTTGTCATTCTACTGACAACAATCATTCACTTGACTCTGATGATGACTTCCGCACAGGTTGTCGAAACGTCAGTCACTACCACCGACAACAGTCCTTCTCAGGACTACACTCACCCGGACGATCAGACTACACCTTCACATGTTACCCCCGGGTTCAAACCATTTACTGCAATATCATTTCCATTCTAACAGTTAATAAGGAATATATTTTAAGATGACCATACCTCCACAATGGCGCCATCAGGCAGCCTTAGGAAGTGTCTGTATAACTCTCGTAATCCATCCAAGTGTATGGTGTGGATAGACACGTGAGATGTGATTTCACGGTGCTCAGTTTTCTTTTTGTCCGAGGCCCCCATATCCGACTCATCAATCTAAACATCAAGATATTCACTCAAAACTCTGCCAACATTTTTCGATGCATGCAATTGTTCTTAAAATTCCTAGAAACAAACTAAAAACAATCACACTCATCTGAGTAAAATTAACCTTCCTTAAGCCTTCCCCTATCAACCTTTCAACAAAAAGGCCAGTTAAAGTCCGTAACGCGCCGACTAATGTGCTAAATTTGGTGACCAAGCTCTTATGTCTCATATCCAAGCGATCCAACTGGCGAAAACAACGATTTCAGGAAGGTAAACAAGAGAAAAAAACCAAGCGGCCTTTGTGTCTCTTTCACGTCTGAGACAAAAAAGTTGTGCCTTCCTAACACGAGAGAGACAGTATCCATGTTTCTTGGGCGCCCTTATCAAA